CTCTCTCTCTCTCTCTCTCTCTCTCTCTCTCTCTCTCTCTGCCTACATTATTAATTAATCATAAAAGAATGACGAGGCATCAGAGATGCAGAATTGATATCACGGGTAACGTTACGTTTTACTTTTAATTTTTAATCATCCTTATTTGTTCGAGTGCGATTCACACGATAGATGAAGTATAAAATATTCGTAATCGTCTGACGTCGCGATGATTTTAGAGCGACACGAGCGTGTAAAAATGCCGAGAGGCTAGGTGGAAAATTACGGGGTTGGCCGATATCATTCCGTGGCCAGACATTTGCGCCGTTTTCGCGAGAAAGGATCGGGTTTTGCGCGGCATTATTCGCGCGCGCATAATGGAAGGCCCCGGGAATGACTGCGCTCGTGCAACGCGATAATTCCATTGCCCGCGCAATTATGACACAGTATCTGCCTCTAGCCAGACGGCCGAAAAAGGTATTCCAAAGCGTTACAAGGATTATTTTCGTTTAAGCCGTCGAGAATATTGCCGTTAAAGCCCGGATATTAATTCTTTTTCTTTTTCCTGCCCGCCTTGCACACAAACTGCCCTGAGATTAATGAGAGATGACTAATGGTGAAATACAAATACGCTTCCGTCCGATTATACCGCGCACGAATGGTGAAAGCCAATAGGAATATCGATTGCGATAACGACGAGCATTATTTTGATTAATTCGTTTAATTTGCGGTTATTGTAACTTTCTTTGTCGATCTTTTATTTCTGACTCGATAAGAAAAACACTATTATTATTTTACTTCTTGTAAAGAACAAAACTCTCATCTAATTAAATTATCTTTTATCTTGCTATTTATTTATGTTATTATTTAGTGAAGACGTATTTTTAACGGAGGTTGTATTTTTAGCGGAGAGAAAGTTTGATATATTCCATGAAAATAAATATTTAACGTTTTTAAAAGAAATTCTTTTTGTGATATATTTATTGCGTCAAACAGCAATATATTTTTCGTGCAATTGATGAGTACAGAATAATTGTAATTAGGCGGATTCGGTCTAAAAATCCAGTAGAAGCTGGATATATTGAGAGAACGAGGTAGATAAAGAGAGAGAGAGAGAGAGAAAGAAAGGGTTGCACTGGAGGGCGAGAGAATAAGGGGAAAGCGAGAGGGATAGATATCCGATTGGAGTGTGGCGTCATTTAGCAGACGACGCGTATAATGGGGGAAACGAGCGAAACCCGGTATAACCTGCGCGCTTGCTTCCAGCACGGCCACGCGCGCAGCAACGCGATAATTCTATTGCCGTGCGATTATGAGAGTATCTACCCC